TCCTCGGAGAGGTTCCTTTTGTTGGCGGGGTGCAGGGTACGCCCGCGCCTATTGTGGACCCGGGGGTTTACCTGCTTCGCGGGGCGGCCTGGCTGGGCCTCGCTCACTAAGCGCTCCTCAGCCAGTTTCGTCAGCCAGCGCGCCGCCAGAATATCGGCTAAGTCCAGCCGGGACTTGTGCTCTGGCGAGCAGATGCGAAATTTTTCTAAGTGCGTACTGGCGGAGCAGAGACAGAGCATACGTGAAGTTTCGACTCGACTGGTCTTACCGGGCGTAAGTCATCTGCTCAGCTCAGCCTAAACGTCAAAATTTAAAAATAATTTCACTTTTTGAACCATCAAAAATGGAGTACGGCCCTAGTATTCGTAATCTATTCTTAGTTGTAAAATTCGATGATGATAAGGAAGGTGATTACTGGGCTGTGCCCTTCACATCAGTGGATAGCTATTCAGTTTGGGTTAATTTGTGGAAAAGAGGTGGTGGTGTTCAAAGTATGGCAGATAATGTATGTGTAGTGTTCAATGGTGTGGGAGACATTCCGTTGGACCTTTCAAGTGATCCACTGGGAACAAGGAAATGTCCCAAGTGCACGAGAAAGCCCATGTGTTGTCTACGGTCTGCAAAAGTAGCCTATGGTCCTCGAGGTGAGTGCATTAGAAAAGCACTTTCTGTTTTAAATTTTGAATACCGAGAAAGGTCATAGATGTAAAATTGGAAAGGTTTTTATGTCATGCTTTTCCTTTTTCGTAGAAAATTTGTGCTGCGTTCTGCTGTCATACGAGAGACGAGTAACAGGATATGATAGAGAAAAGGATGAGGTAAAAAGTCACTGATCCAGAATGGTATCCAAATAAATTAACCGGCCTAATAGTTTTACTCATTTGCATGATGTCGTTATTTGATTGCAGGCTGCGGTTCTTCCAACAACTGAGGAGCAAGAAAGACGATTCACAGGATACGATTGCGATGAGGTAAAAACCTACTGATCTAGAATGGTGTCGAAATAAATTAACCGGCATCATAGTTTTAATCATTTGGATGTAATTATTTCCTTGCAGATAGCGGTTTCTCCAACAACTCAAGAGCAAGATGCAGACTTCTCTCAAAACCAACAAAACTGTATCAAAGATACAGAGAAAGAAAAAGTAAGTCAACAAAACTTTTGCATACTATGTGACTTTATTCCACGCATAATGTACTGAAGGTGTAATCTGTATCCTTTCCAGAAAGCATCCAAGAAAAGGAATGATTTCCATAGCCTATGCAACAGTTAAACGATCTCCAGTTTAGCAAAATATGACCCTGATTATGAACGCTTATTGTACAGAATGGACTATGACACTGATTGTGAAGACTAGGTAAAATCAATGTGTAGCACTAATAGTGAACCCTTAAATAAGTCATTTGTTTTATATTCTTTGTTCATGGAAGCAACTAGTATATCTGTTTTTATGTTGGTGTAAATGTTTGTAAGAATAACAGCTTTTCTTTCTCTCTACTGACTTCTTTGTGGCTGAATTGTATGATTTTTATAGAAATGTCTTCTAAATAAGAATAAGAAAGTATCACAGCCTAATTAATTGAATAAGAACCACGCATATCTCCAGAAACTTTGGGGTTTTAAGTTATATGGAAGAAGTCTGTATTGTTCAACACTACAAGAAAACCAAGCTTTTTAAAATAAATCCATGGTTCTTATTCAATCAATCAGTCTGGGATACTTTCATATTGTTATTTGGAAGACAGTTTCATTAAGATATTCAGATAGAGGAGGAGAAGAAAGGCATTTTTTTATTATCTTGTGGTGCAACTTAGATTCTGTTTATAAAATTTTGCACCGGGTTTATGTAAGCCTGTGGTTGTTACATTGGTTTATTATTTTCTATAAGCTGTGTAAAGTAAGCTTGCAAATTAGTCTCATCACTCTGCTCTGTAATGGGTACATCTACTTTTGAAATGGAATCGGAATCAAATTATCAATCTGGCTGACCGAATGAAACGTAAACTCACACCATATTAAAAACACTAAAGATGTCAAGCATATAGGTAAGAGGTTCAGTTTCATGTTGATAAATAATGTTATTTAGAGTGAGTTGAAGTGGAAAGTAGCCATGGTAGATGAGAGGGAGTGTCTAGTGCATCCTACATCATTTTGATAAATCATAGCTTGAGAAAAATATATTTTCTGTACTCAAAGAAATAAGATTGAGTTTGAGTAATTTTATGGGTACCATAATGGAGTGTTGTTTACTATAATCTGTTTTTAGTAGGCTTTCAAAGAAGCACACACACTTTGGTGTGCCTAATTTTGTCAAGTCATAGGCAAGCAGACAAAATATGAGAGAAACCGATACCAAATCTTTTTCATTCTTGTCATATTTTGTGGGAGCTGTGGGGCAAGTGTTCTACCATTTAATATAGCCCAACTGACGACCAATAATACAAATTTGATTAGCTGTGGTTGCCAATTTATGGTTTTAGCTTCATAACTAAGTAAAACATTATTATCACTTCAAGAAAAATGTATTATTGGTCCAACAATAATTCCAGCTTGTCTCCGAGATTGCTGTCTAGAATGCCAACTAAGAACAAGACATTGTGGGGGCACCTTACGTTTCATTCGGTCAGCCAGATTGATAATTTGATTCCATTTTAAAGCTAGATGTACCCATTACAAAGCAGAATGATCAGACTCATTTGAAAGCTTACTTTACACAGATTATAGAAAATAATAAACCAATGTAACAACCACAGGCTTACATAAGCCCGTTGCCAGATTGTATATACACAGACTAAGACATAACTCAAGATTACCCCGTATTTGTGTATTAGATCTGTCTAGCAATTAGTAATGTAAAAAAACTGCAATATTTGTGGAAAATGTGTATTAAGAAAAATAAAAAAGAATGAAAGAAACTTTTCATGTAGGTTGCAAGATTTATTCTGAAATTTTTACACAAACATATTTATAGAGCAAGTTGTCATCATTGACATTGTCTTCTTTAATCTTAAATCAAATTTGAATTGTTAGCAAAACTAAACTGCAGTTTAGGTCGAACTTGGTTCCACAATCCTAAAACTGTTGCAAATGTTGAGTTTGAAACATTGAGGTCAAGTATTAATATTTACAAGAAAATATGCACAATTATGCTAGTGGGTTGATGAGATGGCCTCCACCTGAAAAACAAACTAAACTAAAAAGGGCATTTGGCTTGACAGTGAGCGTATTGCATTGCATTGTACTGTACTGTACTATACCGACAAAGCCAAGTTTTGGGCTAAAAAATAAAAAATTGGGCTGAGAGTTAGCAAAGCCTTTGTCAACATTTCTGTGC